AATTTGAAATTGACTCGAGGGAATTTATAAAATAAAAAAAACGGGGAGAGTTGGTGGTAATTGTTTTTTTCCCCACCATTTTGTATGAGTGAATGAATGATTGATTGATTGATTGAATGAATGATTAAATGAACAAATGAATGATTAAATGAATCGCAAAAAAAAAAAAAACCGTTTGTGAAAATAAACGTTTGTTTTTGAGAATCAGAGTTTATGACACGATAACTTAAAAACGAGAAGCAATAAATTAATAGTCTTGTGAAAAGTTTTGCGTTTCACCAAAAAAGTTTTTGTTTGTTTGTTGTTGTTGTTGTTGTTGTTATTTGTTCGTTGTTTAAAGAAAGAAAAATTTAATTTATGCATTAATCTTATAATTCTTGAATCGTCGTCTTGAAATAAAAAGACACAAGACCCCTTTTGTTTTTGTTCTGTTGTTTTTGTTTGTGTGTTGTTTGCCAATTGCTCATCGTGTTTGTAGCATCGCAAATGTCGACAAACAAACTTTGTTGTCTTGTTTTTATTTCAATTAATTTTTTTTTTTTCGACTCGATGCGATGCGTCGTAACAATAATTTGATTTTTTTTTTCTTTTGTAAGGTGAGGGCGCGAATGTTTGTTTGTTTGTTATACTTCGATATCTCAATCAGATTGTCGTTTGAATAATAACCCGTAGAGGAAAATCCGACGTTTTATAATATATGTTTTAATAAAAAGTATTTGAGCGTGAGGAAAAGATAAAAGAAAGAAAATGAAGGAAAAGAAGTAGAAGAAGAAGAAGAAAAACAACAACATTAACGTATAGAAAACTATAAAAAAATTTGTTTGTTTGTTTGTTTGTTTGTTTTTTTAAACGTATCGTATCTCTCCGATTTTTTAATTTTTCACTTTGCATTTTTTTTATTTTTGGGTAAATCTATCTGGAAAATTCTCACGGAAAATAAGCGGAAAGAGTCTCCGGTGTCGCTAGGCGACTGTTATCTGATTACTCATCCTCATTTTTCCCTACTTTCCTTCTTCCTTCCTTCCTTCCTGGAATTGAAAAATTATTTCGATTCTCCAACAACAGCAGCAGTAGAAGCAAGAGCACCTCCCAGCTCCCAGCTCCCAGTTCCCACCTCTTCCCTCCCACCTCACTCCCCCTTCTCCCCGGTCTACTCTTTTTATTTCAGTCGACTCGTTTCTTCTTTCCTTCTTCCTCTTCTTCTTTTATTTTTTTCATTTCTTTTACTTCTATTTTTTATTTTGTTCATTTATTCATTTCTTTCTCTCATCGGTTTTAAGTTTCCATCTTCGATGCTTTGAATTCGACGTATTAAAAGATAAAAGGAAAAAAGGAAAATATGCGTGCTCCTCTATGTATAGTCGCCATTTTCATTCTTTCTTTCTTTATGCGCCAATAAAAATATTTTATTAGATAAAATTTGATTAACCTGAATTAAAAATTACTTTTATTTTTTTTTTATTTTTATGAGCGAAAGAAGGAAACGGGAGCAAGCGGGAATGAGAGAGAGAGAAAGAAAACGCGTGAGAAAAAGAAGGAGAATATATATACAAGATTTCGTACGGAAGATGTTTCGCGTTCCGCCGAACATTATAAATCATATTAAACACCGAAAAAAAAAGAAGATTTATAATAAATTTATTGGAAAGAAGGAAAGAGAGAGAGGGAGAGAGAAAGAGAAAAAGAGAAAGAAAAGAAAACAGAAGAGAAAGATGTTTGTTTGTTGTAATTCGCGAAAAAATAAGACAGATGGCAGACGAGAGAAAGAGAGAGAAGTGTGCTTATTTTTATTATTATTATTATTACCTTGGCAGCCATGATGGCAAAACTCTCGTGTTCTTCTTCTATTTATATATGGAAAAAACGAAAGGATGAAAATAATAATAATAATGATAATAAAGAGTGCGAATGAACCTTAGCGGGAAAATATTGTTAAGAAAATTGGTCAGTTAAAATAAACGATAATGATTTTGAGGAGGGGAGGGGAAAAAAGGTTCAAAGGATTATATTAGGAGATAGAAACGTTTTAAAACGCGGTGGTGACGAGTAACGTCGCGAGAATGATGATTCTAATAACGATAATGATAATAATGTTAATGTCATGAATGAATTTTAACGTTTTTCGTAAAGTTGTGTCTTATTGTGTGTTTTTGTACACGTGATTTTAGAGATGTTTGTGGTTAACCTCCAGGTGAAATTTTGTAAATTGAATGAATGAATGAATGAATGAATGAATTATTATACCCTTAAAAACTCTTTAATTGATCTCTTCATTAATTTGTTTATTTAACTTCTTTAACAAAACAAAAACGAGATGAAAATTTTGTTTATTTTCCTTCTTTATTCATCCCTTTCTTATTCATCATTATCATCATTATCATCATTATTATCATCATCATCATCATCATCATCGTAATCATTATCATTCTTCTTTTACTACTTCCGTATAAAATTAATTAATTATTTTCTGTTTGTCTCTCTCTCTGTTCCCACGTCGTTCGTTTTTTTTTTATTTGAAAATTTTTAAGGAAATTACTATTATTATTATTATTTGTTTTGTTTCAGGTAAGGAAACTAATGTTACATTATACGATGAACGGATGGATAAATCGATCGATCAATCAATCAATCAGTCAATCAATCAATTTATTTAATTCGGGTAATGAAACGGAAGCGTCAAATTTTGTGTGACCGTGCCAGAGATGATTCCGGTGTCCATCGATCGACCGATTCGATTTTATTCCAAAAAAAAAAAAAAAATGGGTGACGATTTTCAAAAGAAAGAAGAGAAAAATTTAATAAAAAAAAGACAAAAAAAGAAAAAAAAATTTTCCGGATATTATTATTATTATTATTAACGGTGATACGGAATTGGCAGGTTGACAAACGATCGTGCTGCTCATGTTTTTGGCATAATACGAAAATCGTACCGTGGGATGCTGGGATGCTGCGATGCTGTGTTATTATGAACGAATTCGTAGTGAGAGAGAGAGAGAAATGAACGCGTGACAGGAAAGGAGGAAGAGAGAGAGAGGGGGTGGGTAGAAACTGGAAAAAACAAAAAGAAAAATAATTAATATATTATTATTACGATGATTTATTATTATTATTATTATTATTATTATTATTGAATTGAATGGATTTTTTTTTGTTTGCTTTGCGTTCATGGAAATCACGCGCGTTTTACGGGGAGGTTGTTAATGGAGGGGGAGGAGAATAAAAAAGGGACGAGGGAAAGAGATTTACCCAAATTTTCTTTTTTTTTGATATTAATTCGAAATGAAATCACCAGGGGGGAGGATGTTTTTGTGAATTTTCACGAAACGTGATTTTACGAGTGAAAAAGAAAATGGAAGGAGGAAAGCAAAAGTGAAAGTGAGAGAGAAAGAGAGAGGGGGGAGGGAGAAAGGAAGAGACAAAAGAGGATGTAAAGTAATAAAAGCATAAGGAAAGAAAGAAAGGAGGAAGATGAAGATGAAAAAAGTTTGGCAAAAGATTTGAGTTAAATATGGTTGAAGGCATATTAAAGAGAGAGAGAGAGAGAGAGGGAGGAGGGGGAGGGGGTAGGGAAAACGAATGAGGTCTGTAAAAGAGTGAAAAAAGTTTAAGTTAAAGTGAGGCATTGTTAAAGAAGAGATATATAATACTTTTGTTTTCTTCCTCAACTTTTGTTCGTTAATTTTTATAATTAATTAACTTTTCTCTCTCTCTTTTTTTTCTTTCTATTTTTTTTTTTTTTTTTTGAGCTTTTCCTATCATTAATTTTTTTTTTGTGTGTGTGTGTACCGGGTAATTAAGTTTCTTCTTCTTCTTCTTCTTTTCTTTTTTTTTGTTTGCCTTCTACTTTAATCCTTTTCCTCGGTCTCTTTTCACTCTCTCTTTCTCTCTACTTAATTCCTCTTTTCTCGTCGATGGGAATCCCGTTTTTGTATCCCTTTTGTGTTTATTCATTACCCCTTTCGTCCTTTTTTTTTTCTTTTCTTTTCGCTTCTCACCCCCGATTTTTTTTTTAATATTTTCGAACGCGACGCGATAATAATAATAATAATAATAATAATAATAATAATAATAATAATAATATTACTATTAGAAAATCGAATTTTTCTGTTTTACGTTTTAATTCCTCCGACGGATACGCGTTTCCTTTTTTTTCCTTTTATTTTTATTGTTTTTTCGATTGTTTTCGGCATTTGTTATTATTATTATCATTATCATTATTATTATTATTATTATTTTTAAATATTCGATGCGGCGTGAGAAGGAAAAAAAAGGAAAAATTATAATTATCGGAAAAATATTTCGTTGCATTCTTTACGCCGAAAAATAACAAAAACAAAAAAAAATTTTTTTTTTTATTACGTTTCCCCTTTTTTTCCGAAGTTCTGCGAATTGTTTTTTTTTTTTTTTTTAATAATGATGATAATATTTTAAAAGTTAATTTTACAAAAAGGTAAAAGGAGGGGGAAAGAAAATAAAGCGAGAGAGAGAGAGAGGGGGGGAAAGGGGGAAACGGCAAAGGAAAGAAAATCGGTAAGTTGAAGAAAATGAATAAATAAAGTCCTTAACTTTCGTTTAATGGTTTATATCAATTCAATTATTACTTTTTTTTTTTGGCAAACATTTGCGGTGGAAATAAGTAATAATAATAATAATAATAATAATAATAATAATAATAATAATGATGATAACGATTAGGATAAGGATTTAACGATTAGGGTTTTTTTTTTTAAATCGGACCGATCGTAAAACTGGAAAAGAAAAAAAGAAAAGTTTTCTATTATATGAGAACTTAAGTAAAACGTCGAAACTTTTTTTTTTTTTTTTTTTGAATACAAAAGGAAACTATTATTATTATTATGTATTCGTCTGTTTTTTTTATTATTATTAATATGATGAAAAGGAAAATTTGTTTTGAAAAAGAAATAGAAGAAAAAAAAAAAAAAGAAATGATGATGAAAAAATGACAACACACATACGCAGACAGACAGACAAACGAAAAAATGGCAGATTTCCTGTTTAAAAATGATGAAAAGGAATGAAAAGGAAAGAGAAAAAAAAAGAAGGGGGGAGTAGGGGTGGGGGAAATATTGTCGCAAAAATTTTGATTCTTTACGTGTCGCACACACACACACACGTTGATTTATTTATATAAATAAATGTTTTTTTTTCGTACACGTTCGTTTGTTCTAATTTCTCTCTCTCTCTCTCTCTCTCTCTCTCTCTTGCCTTAACGATATTTCAAAAGAAATTAATTCTTTTATCATTATTATTATTAAATGCGGAATGGAAGGTTGAAGAGGGGGAACGGGTGGGAGAGGGTGAGAGAAAAAAAACTTTTTTTGAAAAAAAGATTTTTACGACGCCACAAAAAATTAAATATTATATAATCCTCATTAATGTTATTATTATTATTATTTTTGGTTTTTATAATAATGATAACGATAATAAAAAATCTAAGTATAAGGAGGAGGGGGTGAAAAACGTCGACGTCGATTTTTTTTTTTTTTTTTTACTTTCTTTCGGCCCCCATTTCGTATGGAAGAAAAGAAAGAAAGAGTGAGAGAGAGACTCGCTCGTTTCTTTTACATCCAAGAATTGTACATGAAAATAATCGATTTATCGATCGATAAATTAATTTTCGATTATCGAATAAAAAACTAATAATGATAATAATTTTTCATTCAAATAACGGTATAAGAAATAAGACGTAAAAAAAAAAAATTTCGGAGACGCCATTTTCCGCTTTTCGAGTTTTTCCGAATCGATAATAATAAAAAAAAAAAAAAAAAATTTATTGTTATTATTATTATTATTATTTCGATAATTTTTTTTTTCGTCTCTCTTTCTCTTTCTCTCTCTCTCTTTCTATCCTTTTTTTTGTAGTAGGAGTGGGAGTGGTGGTGGTGGCGGCGGAGGTAGGTTCGAAATAAAATGAGCCTGAAGAAATTTAATTAATTGTTTGTAATTTTTCAAAAGCATTTTTTTCCCTTCCTTCCTTCCTTTCTTTCTTTTCTTTTTTTTTTCATTTTATTTTTATTTTTTTTTATTTAACTTTTTAAGAGTTAATTTAAAAAAAAAAAAAAAAAAGAGAAAAAGAAGAAGGAGAAGAATAAGTAGAAAAAAAAAGAAAAGAAACTGCAGAAGAATGTGTCAAGGCAATTAAATTAAATTAAATTAAATTAAATGGAAAGAGAAGTTAATACATTTCATCATTTTTTAGTTGTCCCTCAATTTTTTTCTTTTTTTTTTTTTTTGTCTTCTGCTTTTCCTTCTGTTGATTACAAAAAAAAAATTCTACATCGTTCTTTTTCTTTTCTTCCCCCCCTCTCTTCCGCTTATGCATTAATAATAATAATGATAATGATAATATTCGTTCAGTGTGCAGTACAGACGGGGGAAAAGAAAAAAAAAAAAATTTTTTTTACTTTTCCATTTTTCCTAATTTCCTTTTGGTTTACTATTTATTTCCGGTTTGATTATAATAATTTTTTCTTACCCTCTCTCTCTTTCTCTCTCTTCTCTTCTTCTTCATCTTTTTTTTATCGATCGATCGTCCAAAAAAATAAAAATAACAAAAATAAAAAAAAATTAATTTTATTTCGTTTGCCATTTTGTTTTTTTTTTTAAATTTTTGGCGCTTTTTTTTTTAAAATTTTGGCGCCATTTAATAAATATATATACCTTTATATGAATTTTTTTTTCGTTTGCTTTTATTGCTTCTTTATTATTATGCTTTATTTCCTCTTTCTCACATCTCGAATGCTCCGCCATTTTTTTTTGTTCTTCGAAAAATTAAAATTTCGTTTTCGTTTTTTTATCTTCTGCTATATTATTATTATTATTATTATTATTATTATTATTATTATTATTATTATTATTATTAATATAATTATTTATTTTATTCGTTTTAGGGAGAGAGAAATTTTTTTTTTTTTTTTGTTTTTACAAAACGCGAATAAAAATAGTTTCTTTACTTTTTGAAATTTACGTAATAATGTAATAATAATAATAATAACAACAATTTAATAGTAAAATTTTTTTAACAAGTATCTTTTTCCGGTAGAACTTTGAAAGAATTAAAAGTTTGTTTTAATTACGTGTTTCCGGGATAAATAAAACAGGATGACACGTTTTTTTTTTTTTTTACAAAAATTTCTCAGTGTGTTCATATTCTTCTTCCTATTTTTCTTACTTATATTTCCGTTTCCGGTTATTTTTTTTTTTTTTTTTTTTGAATTAATAAGAAGAAGGAGAAAAAAAAGTCATTCGAAGAGGAGATGAATCGAACTTGAGAAAAAATGATGAGATGTGTTGTTGTTGCAACATAACATCCTTGTTTTATTTTTCTTTTATTATTATTATTATTATTTTTTTTTTCCTTTCTTTCTTTTCCATTTTATTCTTTTTATTTCCTTTTTTTTTCCTTTTATTTGTTTCTTTTTTTTTTTTTTTGTTAAAATGCATTTGGATGATTGAAAAATTTTTACGTTTTACCTTTTAATAAATTTCTATCTTTTTTTTTTTTATTCTTTTTGTCCTCGGGTGAACGAGTATTTCTGAACAAAATCGATTTCGAGTCTTAAGTAATGCTATAATATTTATAGTTTATCTACTAATTCTTTTCCTGTCGTTTAACAATCGTCACGATGATGATGATGATGATAAAAATAGGGAAATGTTTTTTTTTAAACCGTGGGAAATTAAATTGTAGAGACGGAAAAATCCGGGTTCAAAGAAAACTTAAAACGTAATTGAAAATGACGATGATGATGATGGTGATGTTAATTGCGTCAGAGACCGGAAACGTGAGAATTTTCTGTCGTTGTTGATTTTTTTTTCTTTTATAAATTAGGTTAATATTTGAAATGGATTCCCAACGCGAGACAATTCATTCGACTTTTCGAGAAACCTGAGACGTTTGTCTGCTTTGAATTATTTATTACACAAATATGGCGAAATAATTTTTACGGAAATTTACAATTTTTATGCCCGGATATGAATGGTTTTTTTTTTTTTTTATTTGGTAATGGTGACGACGACGACGACCCCCCAATTTTCATCACGTGATTAAAAAAAACATTGCCGAGGGGTTCGATTGTATAATATTTCCGTGATGGTCGTTGTCGTACGTGGTGATTACGTACATATATTTCTATATAATTGGTATTATTATTATCATTACTATTTTTTTTTTCAAAGGGAAATGAATGTGAGTGATGCTGCTAGGGAAAGAGGAGGCGAGGGGAGGGGAGGAGAGGGGAGAGTAAAAAAAGGAAAAAAAGGAAAACTTTTCTTTTTTCGTCTCGTCATTTGAGTCTTTAATAAATTTAATTCTACATCTGTTGTTTTGTTTTGTTTTGTTCCTTTTAATTTTTTCGTCTGCATTTTTGTTTTTTGTTTTCTGTCGTCGTCGTTGTTGTTCCTTTTGTCAGATTTGTTTTTATAAAAAAAAAGAAGAAAAACAATACTTGCATTGAAATTTTTTTTTTCTTTATAAACGTGTGGCATTTTTTTTATATATTTTTTTTAATACATTTAAAATAAAATAACACGACAGCAAAAAAAGAAAAAGAAAAAGAGAGACGGGAGAAAGAGAGAAAGAGAGAGAGAGTGAATGCATGTCTGTATATAATTCGAGAAAGGAAAATTCAAAGTGCGTGACTTTGTTTTTTTTTTTTTTATTCTACATACACAGACATCAAGATTTTTTACATTCGACGATACGGCGGCGTTTTTTTTTTTTTTTTTCAAATAATTGCCTTCGTTCTAGAGACGTGTGCTTACATTTCGACGTGTCAGAAGAAGTTTGAGGAAAAAAATGAAAAAAAAAACCTAGAGACACGATCGTTTTCATTCCGATTAAATATATATTTTTTTTTATTATCATCATCATCTATAATATTATTATTATTATTATTATTATTATAGAAAAAAAATTGCGTATGCGTTGCGTTATTAGTGCGAGATTTCAATTTTTTTTTTTTTAGTAAACCAAAAAAAGTTGGGAAAATTTTTTTATTTTTATTTTTGTAAAAAATTATTTCTCAGCACGTTTTGATTTTTTTTCTTTTTTTTTCTTTTTCTCCTTTTTTTTTTTTTGGTTGGTACTTGAGTTGAAAAATTTTTTAATTTTTTTTTCTCACTCTTTCTCTCTTTCGCTCTCTCTCTCTCTCTCTCTCTCATTTTTTTTTCTTTTTTTTTTTTCCTCGCAATTCGGAATAAAAATGTTAACGAGGTCAATTGAATACTACGTGAATCGCAGCAAATAAGAAAAAATATAAACTAAATAAATTGATAGACGAAATGTAATTTTTCTTTCTTTTTTTTTTTTTTTTTTTTTTTTTTAAATTTGCGGTAGAAAAATTTTGTTAACGGAATTATTTTGCTTCTTTTTTTTCTTTTTTTCTTTTTTTCTTTTTTATAAAAAAAAAAAAATAAAATAATAAAATAAAACACTTTGATGGAAAAAAAAATGAAGAGGTAGGAGGAGAAAAAAAAACTGATTTGATTTAATAATAAAAAATATATAGAAGGTGAAAATTTCGAGGTAGGTAGTAGCCCCGAGGAGAAAATTTGATAAGAAGAAAAGAAAAAAAAATATGGAAGAAAAAAATGAAAAGAGAAAAAAAGAGAGACAAAGACAGAGGGAGAGAGAAAAAGAGAAGGAGAATGAATGTGAGATTCGAGTTAATTCGTTTATTTTTAAAAAAATGTAAAATCGAGCTGGAGAACTGGAGTTTGCATCTAACTCATTCTGGAGAAAAAAAAAGAAATTATAACGAGGCAGTAGAACGTTTCGATGGTTTTTTTTTGTTTCCCCCCGCGCCCAAGGAGGAGGGAGGCGTGTGTATAACAGAAAGGATGAATGAATATTGTTGAATAAATAAGGAAGGAAGAAAGAGAAGGAAAAGAGGGAAAACGCGTCGTGAGAATTCAAAAGAACGTGCGTTGATATTAATAAATACATAATTGAATGTGAGAAAGAGGTCAAGAGGTCAAAAGATCATGATGAAAAAAAAATAAAGGAGAAAGAAAAAATCGATGGAAGATGAAAATTGAAAAGTTGAGAAAAAATACGAAAAAAAAAAAAATTCTTCCTCTTCCTTCTTCTTCTTCTCTTTCTTCTCTTCCTCCTCCTTTTCTTTCTTCTCCTCCTCTTTCTCCTCCTCCTCTTTCTCCTCCTTCTCCCTCTCCCCCCGGCAATAACAATGAAATGCAGATCGATATTTCGGATCGATAATAATTTTTTCTATCAGGAACATTTTGCAATTCAATGGAAACAAAAAAAAAAAAAAAATTTTTTTTTGAATGGGATTCTTAATTGCCATTACGCAACATCTCGAAATGCAAAAGAATATGGCGAGGAAAAAAAAACAAAAGAACAAGAGAGAAAGAGAGAGAGAGAGAGTGCGTGAAAAGAATAAAAAAATGAAAAATAATAATAATGATAATAATGATAGTGATAGGAAAATTTGAATTATGATGAAATTTTTTTTCTTAAGAAATGTGTACCATTCGCGCGAACATTTCCTCTCCTCCTCTCTCTCTTTCCCCTTTTCTCTCTCTCTCTTTGCACGTGAAAAACAAAGCAACAAACAAAGACATAAACAAGCGCGTGAATTTTTTCGCAACAACCCACAAACGGGTGACGAACTGAAATTAAAAAAAAAAAAAAAAAACGGAAAAGGTTCTAGTAAAAAAGGTCGTGTAAAATCATTTCCGGTTTCTAAACATAAAATTAATAAATTAAATGTTTGAGAGGAAAAAAAAGAAAGGGGTAGGGGAGAAGGAAGTGAAAAGGGAAAAGGGGGAAAAGAGGGAATGAGGGAAAAATTAATTTAAATTAACTCGTGGACTTGTCAGATGGTTGGTTTTATTTTAAGGTTTTGATGCATAATTAATATGAAAATAACTTAGTTGATGGGTTTGTTCTTCTTTTATCTTTTATAACAACCATTTCAACCTATAATTAACAAAGTTTTACTCGTAAATTTTTCAAATCCCGTCCTAGAAAATTTTTCATCTTCTTGTTAAACATTTTTCGATCTCGCGTTTTCCTTTTCTATGATTTTCGATTTATTTTCTTTCTTTTTTTACCCCCCTTTCCCCTCCTTTCTCTTTCACTCTCTTTTCTTCTTTATACGTCACTCTTGTTTATTTATTTCTCCCCTCTCCTCCCCACTGAAAACATGACGTCAACATTTCGTGTACGTAACCGTCATCGTTGTTTTTAAATACCCAAGAGAATGCCTGAAAGAACCTGAAGAAAAAAAGAGACGCAAAATCCAGGTTTTTATATTTTTTCGTTTCGTCGTGAGAGAGAGAGAGAGAAGGAATATTTTCGCGAAGAGTTTTTCTCTCTCTCTCGCTCTTTTCATCGTTATTTACGTTTTCACATTTTTTTTCTCTTTTGTTTTATTTTTCATTCTTTATTCCTTTCACGAATTTTCTTTTTGTCTATTTACACATCTGTCGCATCTCTCTGTCTCTTTCTTTCTCTTTTTCGTTCTTTTGTTTTTTTTTTTTTTTTGTTTTTGTCTCGTCAAATTCTTTTGCGTTTCGTAACGTTGCGTAACACAAAAGAAAGACGAAAGAAGGAATCATGAGAAATAATAAATTGTAAAACAAAAAAAAAAAAAAAATTTTTTTTCGAATGTGAAACGAAAACGCGACGGGGGCGGAAGAAAATGTGGGGAGAAGGAATGAAAAAGGAAGGAGCCGGGAAAGGGGGGGGAAAAGGATGATATTGACGAGAATTCGAATTTTTTGTTTTTCCCTTTTTTTTTTCCTTTTCGATTTTTTCCATTTCTTTCCTCCGTCCGAGGTTCATAAAATTTTTTGATTTTGAAAATTTTGTCGAATTTTCTTTTTTATTTTTCTGTTTTTCTTTTTTATTTTAGAAAACCGGAAAAAACTCTTGGGAAAAAAAAAAACAGAAATAAAATTTTTTTTTCCATTTTCTTCTTTTCTTTTCCCCCAAATTTTTCCTTTTCTTTTCTTATTTTAAAAGGAAAAAAAAAAAATACGAGACTCATAAATGAATATCTTCCGGTGACGGTGTTTTATATTTTCATAAAAAAAAAGACGTGGCGTTAGAAAAAAAAAAAAAGTATAATAATTTTTAACTTTTAAAAAGTTTTTTTTTTTTTTTTTTTTTTTAATGTTGTTTTATGTATATTAAAAAAAATTTGGGGATATCGGGACGCGCGTTATTTTCAAGATTTTTTTTTGCCTTTTTTTTTTTTATTTTCCCCCCAAAATTAGAAAAATAAAATAATAATAATAATAATAACAAAAAAAAAAAAACGTTTATAAACGGTTTACGTGATTGTAACCTCATTGAAAAAGTTTTCGAGAGAAAAAATTTTTCATTTCAATCTTCTCCATTTTTTTTTTTAAGTTTGTTTGCTTTTTATAGAAAAGAGAGAGAGAGAAAAAAAGAGAAAAAAAAGGAAAAAAATGACTCAGGTGTTGAATTTTCTTCTGCTTTTTTTTTCTTTTCCAATCATTACTTAACTTGAAAACCTTCAATTTTAAAATTAATCAAAAAAAAAAAAAAAAAAAAAAAGTACAACAAAAAATATTGTTTTGTTGTTTGTTGTTGTTGTTGTTACGTACGCACGTTTTGATGGTAAATCGATAAATGGATTTTTTTTTCTCTCTCTTATATAAGAAATATTGAAAAAAAAGAAAAATATTTTTACGAAACGATTTTGGAATAACAATGGCGACGAACAAACAAACGTTTTCTTTTTTTCACAATTTTCATGATGAATCTTTGTTGTTGTTGTTGTTGTTTCATTTTCCTTTTCTATTCTTTTCTCTATTAATTCGATTTTCCTTTTTTTTTTTTTTTTGTTATTCGTTAGGTGTAAGAAAATCGTTTCGTGTAATTTATTTTACCCCCCCTCCC